GTTTTCATTCTAAAAGGTTTTACACCTGAAAAGATAAAAATATATATATTGAGAATACATTTTTCTCCTTATATTTCAAAACAAACAATAAAAATTCTGCAGGTTTCTAAAGCATCTGAGTAAACTATGTTGTGGCTAAATCAGGAGGAGAATATATATATATATTTTTTAATTTGAAAATGCTAGGTAGCTAATGTGATTTTGATATAATCTCAGGGCAGTCTTTTTGTTTCTCTTCTTTTGTTATGATGTGACTATTTTCTAATATTAAAGCATTTTTATCAGCCAATGCACATAATAATACTACTGGTGCAGTTCAAAGCTTAGTGCCTGGGAAACCTGTGGTCACAGTGCCTGCAACTGCTCTAAACATTGGGATGGACTTATGGAGTGCGTCCCCAGCTGCAGCAGGACCCACAAAAATAAGACCCAATTCATCTGGTGCTGCATCTGCAGCTGCTTCTGGAATGCAAGACCAGTGGATTCAAGTATGAACCTTGAATTTATCACTTATATGTTAATTTGCATATTTATTTGTGCTTGTAATCACAATTTCCTTTGGCAGTAGGTTTCAATTTTTATTCTGCATGTTAACTAGTTAGTATTGACCCTCTTCAACTTAAATAAGCTTGAGCCTTTTGGATGCTACTACATAGATGTACTTGTGATTCTGTTGTATTGAACTGCACCCGTATTCTTGCAGGACGAACGTGAGCTGAAAAGACAAAAAAGGAAGCAATCTAATAGGGAGTCAGCTAGGAGATCAAGATTACGGAAGCAGGTAAAGTGATTCTTTTTGCTCTTATTCTAACCCATTTATTATAGTCAACCAACATCCACCATACATGATCTTTGACCAGAGACAGCCACCTTCTTTTGTCTTTAGATTTCTCTGCTGGACGAAGGGCTGTGATTATTTATTATATGCCTTTTGAGCTTATTTTCCTCAAATCCTAATATATTTGTTACCTATTTCTCTGTTGGCACATGGTCATCTTTTGCTTCTGTTACGTTCTTTGTCACCACACTCCTGCTGACAGAGCAAACGTTTGCTTGACTTCCAGACAGCTCTTTCTGTAGAAAAATGAGTGGCATTTGTTGGGAGTGAAGGGGGAAAACTAATTTATTTAGCATATTATAGAAAAGGGTTCCAGATCCAATCTTTTCCATACACATTACTGACTTTAATGTCCTTGTTTTTGTTTGCCATCAAACAATGAACTTCAAATGATGCCCTAGTTAACAAAGAGAAAAGGAAAGAAGTTTTCACTTGTAGTGTCAACAGAATAGTGGCTGCTTCTCATACATTGTTTCATTATTCATTAGTTTAATATTAAAATGAGGAGTATAATTATTGGAAATAGGTCTAGTTTTGAATTCAGTTCAGATCTCCAACGAATCTTTATACATGGCTTGCACTTTTTGTTGCAACAGGCAGAGTGTGAAGAGCTACAAGCTAGAGTGGAGAACCTGACCAATGACAATCACAGCCTTAGAGAGGAGTTACAGAGGCTTTCCGAGGAATGTGAGAAGCTTACATCAGAAAATAATTCCATTAAGGTATGGTGCAACTGTCCCCTCTTACCCGTGCCATCTTATGCCACATCTTAATGCATGCATGTTTTCCTAATCTCCAATAGGTTGTAATCAATCACTTCCACCATTGATTAACGAATATATAGATTTTTGTCATCAAAACACTTGATTTTGTTGCATTAACAGGAAGAAATGACAAAACTATGTGGACCGGAGGCAGTAGCTAAACTTGAACAGAACAACCCCTCAGCGGTTCCCCAATCCCGTGGTAGTGAGGGAAATAGCTAGTAATAAACCTTTGATGTCAGTTTGCCGCACAGGCATTTGATCTTGGATTCTTTTTACCTTAGGCTTGAGTTGATCATAGAACATTGGTTTGCATACTAATCCGTACATTCTTAACCGTTGATAACTGTAATATCTGTTTGCAAAATTCAGACTTCTCGATGTTGTATTTGTATTGTTATAAACAACTTGGGGGGAAAGGGTAGGATAATTGGTGATTTATATTTATTTAAACCTCTAAGCACCATGTTTTGTGTTATTTTCTCTGGCGTGGAAAGGCCACAAGTGACCGGAATTAACAAATATAAACGAAGATTTTTTGCTTTTCTTTTTTGGTAAAAACCTGTAAGATGGAGGATCATCTCTTTGATATTGAGCGTTTTTTCTTATTTAACAATTTTTGTTTTATAGCTTGGTGTAATTTAAATTAAGTTGTAATTTAGATTATGATTTAAGCTTTATGTAATTTAGATTACAAAATGACTGTTTTTAAGAAAGGATAACTTATTGAGAAAGCGAGTGCCAATCTTAGGGGAATATAGGAAAATTTGTTTAAAAATTATTATTATTATACTATATATAATAAATAAATAAATAAATTCTTTTTTAAAAAAAGAAAAAGAAAAAGAAAAAATAACATTATCTCAACACATGTGAACGGTAAAATTAGAATAATTGATAACCGAAGAGAAACAATGTTGATGCTGCATAAGCAAATTAAAAACGTGATATTCATCTCTTTGTTGATCCAAAGAAGAAAAGATGCTGTATGTAATGGTAGGCCTCATAGGAAGGAAAACTTCGGTAGCCACGAAAAAAGGGAAAATGAATGCCAATCTCGGTGATCATCAGGATCAGAGAGCAGTTCTGTCTGGTCTCCAATTCCATCACGAGGATGTCTCGGTCGAGCTGCTTCAGTAGAGCCTCTCAAGATATGGTCCGCTGGATTAGACAAAAATGGAGTTTTGTAGTGAAACTAAGAAAAGTAGAAGTACCTAGGAAATCATTATGCAGTTCTTTACCTGATGCAGTAATCTTCCCCATTATAGCTCTAGCACAGTGGATTTCTTCTTGGTTTACGCTGATGAGCCTGACGTGCATGTAAGTGAAAAATCCCAACATCTTTTTATATCATCATGTCTTATAAAGGAAACATTACAATTACATACAACTAGGCATATCCGTCGATGCCAATATGCACAAGAAATAAAGTAACATTGCATTTTCACTCGAAAGGAACAGCATTCTGTCTCTCTTTGTCCGAGCAACATACCATTCCAGCATATGCCAAGCCTGTAAGCTGATCAACTCTAGCTTGGTGCCTCAACAAGAAGGGACGCAGATGGCTCCCATATTGTTGGGGCAGCTTCACAATTCTATACTGTAGATATTTTCAACTGTTTCAACACTTGAAAATCTCAAAAATGTTTTCTCGGAAAAAACACTCCGACCTCAAGTTAGCAATAGTTGATATTCTAGAAAGAGAAGCTCTCAACGAGTAATTGCAGAGAGAGAAGTATAGTGGAATTAATATCTTAAGTGGAGGTAGTTGGGGGTATCTATAGCCCCATATATTGAGATAAGTCCATATGTGTATGCATCCGATTGATTCACATGTTACTACCCACGTGGGTATGTTTTTTTTTTTTTCATTTTGAACTTATGGATGTACGATTAGACATATTGTATATGGCCCAGATTGAATGTTGGGCCCATTCTCAACACATATAATTGCTTAGCTCCCTGAAAAAATGGAACTCCATTTCACAGATCAATAATCAATTAGTGTCTCTATCCGGAAACCTGGTTTTTAGAGAACAATTTATTCCCAAAAATAGAAGGAATAAAACAAGTGGAGACATAGAACTGAACTAGGGATATAAAACCAAAAGATTTTACATTGCACCAGTTTAGAGCTGCCATATGAAAACTCCAGCTTTCAATTCAAACAACAAAATTTCTTTCCTGATCCTGTATAGATAGAGAAAATATAAGCGCAACCTAGACTCACCTCAGTGCTGGGAAGTTGAAGCCAAACAAGAAATGCAAACTTGAAGTGATAATACATAGGAAACCTGTAACACGAAGAAAGTAAACACCAGGGAGTACATCAAGGTCATTCAGATGCCTGTCTAAAATACTTGTGAGCATGAACTTTTACATGTAAACATCAAAGTATGGGCTGCAATGGCTTTTTTTTTTTTTTTTTCCTTTGAAAGCATACCATCAACTGGCTTCACCGCTTCAGTATCTATTCAAGATGGCAATATTAAGAAATTTTGATGACAATGAAGATTATTAACAATAATCAAGACAGGAGAAACATGAATGAAAAGAATATCTAAGGATATATTTATGAACTCGACTAAACTTGAGAGATATAACAAACAGATGCACATTGTTAACAATAAGTGCCCTCCATGTTAAGAAAGAATATATCCTTTGAAGATGGTTTTCAAACCAAAGAACTAGGATTCAAACTCATAACAGGAAAGCAGCTTGTCAGTGAATGCTTCAACAAGGGTAAAAGTTCCATACGCTGCAAATAACGGGGAGATGGTGATTGCTCAAAACTCATTCAAATAACTAATGACACACGTACATTAATTGTTTTTTTCTGTGTGGAAAACAAAAATTGGAATACAGAAACGCCCTACCTGCCCAATATATTAGCCAATTTTGCTGCTCATTTGGGTCATTCCTTTCAATTGCCTTGTATGTAGAGTATACAGGTAAACCAATCCCCGCTGAACAGCTGTAGAACCCTGAAGAGAAATAAAAATTTTGGTTGATATCCATACACCAAGCTATGATGGAGTAAGTGCACACCATCAACATTTACAACAGAAAAAATGGTTTACCAAAAACAATAAAATTTATAGAGAGTGGGTTTCAGAACATGAATGCTAAGTTCAAAATAGGAGACTGGAGTACCCCAATGAGAAGTACTAATCGTTCTTGGTATTGGCCCATTATAGAGGAAAATCTCTAACGCAAAAAGAAAACTCCACAAAAAAAAAAAAAGAAAAAAAGGCATTACATTTAGTCTCAACTCACCATGCTGTGCGAACTACAATGTTGGAACCAATGGGGCAAAACAGCAACTGCAGTTCCACCTGCATTAGGTTGTTACAAGCAGAAGCTTCAGAAGCAAATTAAGCATGTTCCTTTGATTAATTCAACATGTTTCAAAGCTGACCATAGGAGTTATACAATCAAGAAAAGCAACAAATGAAATTAATACTAATCATACTTTTCTAAAAGATTGAAAACTATAAAACTAGAAAATAAGCGCAGTCCACAGATAGAGAGAAATGGAACAGAGAAACTATCAGATTGCCATTGGCTAACATTTATGCAAATCTGGGTGATCCACAAAATAAGAAACAGAATTCCTCATCTTGGTGAAACTCCAATTTTGTAAAAACGAGAAAGCTACCTAACCTCGGTTGCAATGTTTGGATCCAGGGAAAGCCATTGCAGGATTCAATCAAAGAATGTTTGCATTATGATTATTGATTACCACCGCTTCATGTTAAACGCGGCCTTCTAGCTAGGCCTCTTCCAGTGGGAAAAAATCGCTTTTGTTTCGAATCAGTGAAACGGCGCCGTTTGATGTAAATTAATTCGTAAATTATCATGGCATGGTTAATATTAATTCTTTTTCCATTTTATGCAGTGTCCATTTTTTTGCCGAATTTTTATGTTGAGTACAAGAAGTATAGAGTTTACAACCATTAAGTGCATTGTAGATATTTTCGTTTTCACTAATATTTCAACTTTTTTCTATTGATATGAGTGGGTTATGATTATAATCATCATTAAATTTGTTAAAGTAATTAAAAAATTATTAAATTTGTTAAAGGCAGGTCTTCCTTGTTACGTTTCTTCTTTACATACTTATAACAATAAACACTCTTTGATAACATGATTAGAGATTTGTGTTAGTAAAAATTAACAGTAGTATGATATCTAAAACAAACCAATTAATCTATTAACACTACTAATTATCATTTTGGAAGTTCGCAACAAGCAAACGACTTTATTGATAAAATCACTAAACTTAATTTGAGAGAAATCTACATCAACAACTTTTCAAGAAATAAGATTTCCTTTCAACATGGAAAACACATGGCATCATTCTATTTTTTGCAAAAATGGGTGTAAACAATAATTAATTATTATTAAAAAATATAAATTAATAAAATTATGGTTAAATTAGTAATTTTAATAAAAGTTACCTCTCTCATATAATTATCTCATATAATTAACATTGTAAACATTTTCTCATTCGAAACCCTCCTTCATAAAGTTGATTTGATGATGATAACAACTACGGTGGTGTAAAGTCTCAAAACGAATACCAGTGTTGCTGCTCCATACAATGAGTTTTTCATCATTGGGCAATTTATAAAGTTGATTTATTAATTTGTTAAACTGGTTAATTGGTACCATATTCCAAGATCCCATGATAAAGGAAAGTAGGAAGTGTAAGTGTTGTTGATAATTATCACGATTAACAATTACTAATCATTTGAGATTTTAAGAAACATGATATTTTTTATTCAAATATTTCAGTTTCTAATACATTATACATGTTGTTAGTTTGGAGACTGGCATAATCTAATATTAATCCTGGATAAGAGGAGAATATCCATCTCTTTTAATTTCCATCACACCCAAACAGAGGAAAGGATTAAAAAAAAAAAAAAGGAAAAAGAAAAAGGAAAAGGCAAAACAAATCAGTGGTGATTGGGAATACATACAATAACATCCCAATCCGGCATTAGCTAGCTATCATATCTAAGCCCACACTAACACTTCCAAGCTGAGGTGGCAACCAGGGCCCTCTCGTGCCAGCAAAGCACCAACTCAGCTTGCCGTTTCGCCACGTGGAACCCTCTCACCTGCACCTTCCGTAACACAAACTCTGCTTGAAAATCAGCAAACTGACTCAACTGCACCGGCCTCATTCCCGCCCCACAAAAGATCTCCCTCCACGCCGTCGCCGCCCTCCTCCCGGCCATCTCTACAGCCGCCAGTATCCTCGGTCGCATCAAAAACGTCTCTATCTTCCTCGCACACTCACCCCCTCCAACCGCCGCATCCAGCGATTCCAACATCATCGCGTAAAATTCAAGCCCGTTAACGAAATTCCTCCTGAACGACGTTGTGCCAGATTCCATCCACACTTCGGTGTCCACAAACACCACGATGCTAGGCGAAACCTGCCTCAGTTCCCTCACCAACGTCATCACATTCAGATTAAGACACCGGAAAATCGCCGGAGAAAGCAGAATTACCGATTTTTCTCCCTCCATAAACTTGAATGCCTTGGTTGAAAACATTTCGAAAGTGCGTAGAAGCACGAATTCCATCTGGAACCTGATTTTCAGCTCCTGAGCGAATTGAGTTAGATTCTCCTTAATCAATCTTGTTTCGATGGACTCTTCCAGTATGACCGCCGTGATTCGAAGAACGGGCGGACTGAATCTGCAATCCGATTTCTCCGCAATTTCCCTCATCAACGAAGCGTACTGGCCGCCAAGTCCGATATCGAAATCTATGATGTGAATCAACGGTGGTGATCCCTCGAGGGCGTCGAGGATGGCTTGATTGGTGGTGAAGTGAGTGAACATCGGGATGGGCGAGATTCCGTTGTACGCCCTGTATGCTCTAATCGTCTGAACGATTTCGTCCCAAGAAGAGACCGGAATCGTCCTTGTTGATCCGGCGAGTAGAGACTGTAGAGCTTCCTTGAAGTAGAACGCGGCTCTTTGCAGCGGCTTTCCGTTTGGAGATCTCAGTCGGTTATTGAGTCGGGCCAAAATCAACTGCGCGAGTTGCAACTGGTTCGAGTCGAAGCAGTCGGCTGCCCGGATTAGCTCCTCTATAAAATCAAACCCCACGTTGAAGTTGCCAAAATTATGAAAATTATTATCAAGATAATTGAAATTAAGATGTGGGTTTTGGTTTTGACCCGAATTATAAAAATCGTAAGGATTAAAATCGTTATGAACGGACGCCGGAGGCAAATCGCAGGGTCCAAGCTCAGGGAGGCTCTGGATATGATTATCAACGGAAGTTGGAGAAATGGTACTTTTGATGGCCAGGGCAGAATCATCGTCCAAACCCAACTCCCTCATAATGGATTCCCAGGATTCCCAATCCACGTTGCGCGGAACATGCTCGTCCCACTCAACACCCTGATGAGGAACAACGTCGGAGATAGTAGTGGAGACATCGGCTGCTGCAGGCTGAGGTTTCTCACAAACAGGGCTAGCACTCCGGCGAAGATCAAGAACCGAAGTTGGCTCGTGGAAGCTGTTTCGTGCGATGTTGTCGGCGTTTCCGATCGGTTTCGCAGTGGTGAAATGGTTGTTATCTTGTGGGGGAGTAAGGGAAACTCTCATATCTAGGAGAGCACAGAGAGGCGCTCTTTTGTGGAGGGTTGGCTTTGCTTTTTTCTCTCTTGTTTGATTTAGGGTTTGAAAGTGAGCGAAATGAGGAGGGGACTTTTGGTAGTTATAATTGGTGGCTTTTTATGTTCGCGTTGGTGCATGGGTATGGAGTTGTGCATACAATATGCATATATATGTTACTTTGGTTTTTAAATATGGATAGTGCTTGTCTATCTTATTTTTAAAAAGTTAAGAGAAAAAAAATAAAAATTATCTTAATACATACTTTAAAAATAAGATAATTTAGTTTTTTTCAATAAAAATTTATTAAAATGACATAATTTTGAGATAATTTTCCTCTTAATGTTTAAAAGGTAAAGTTGATAGACACTATTTCTTTTTAAATATGATACACAAATACATATATTATCTTTTGTCATATATTTTTTAATATATTTATTAAAATTTTATTATTTTTAAATTTAAATAAAAAATTTTAAAAAAAACTTAAAATTTCATATTTTAATAACTAATAAAAAATATTAATAAATGTGTTAAACTATATAATTTAACAATTATTTTCCTTAAATATATTACTGCATGATGGATATATATAGGCATCCGATATATACATTGTTATATATACACGCATGCTCGACAGAAGTCTGACCAAGGTTTTATCCCCTTGGAAGCTTCAGTCACAAGTAATTGCTTTATAGGATTCGCAACTTCCATTTTCCTTTCTTAAATTCATAGATCCTAAACCACTGTTAGAGGGCTAGCTAGCTAAAAGTTTCATAAAAGAAGATCGTGGATTTGCTTTGATTCGAATATAGTCTTTATCAAATACGGATTTAGAGCATTTTTGGCCTATAGTTGGAGTTTCTTTTTTCAAAAAAATAAAAAAAAACTGTATTTAGAGCAGCTTCTACCGTTGAACAGAAAGTTGTGTTCTAGAAGTATGGCCATACATACTAAAGGATTTCATTTTTCTTTGCTAAAGTAATTAAAAAGTTATTGACAGAGAATCACTTCTTTTTTTTTAATTTTAATTAATTGTACAATAAAAGACATTCTTTTCTCATTTTCTTTAAGTCACTACCACTTATATGTTGTATAATTTAAAATTAAAGTCTTTTATATTATCATTCAATTATTTAGATAATTAACAATGACAACAAAGAATTACTTTAATTAATCAAGAATATGGTTATGGCTATGAATAAACTTATTAAAATCACCAAACTTTGTTTGAAAATGTTAATATAGTTTGATTTGATTATTAAGAACAATTAATAACTATTAAAATAATTAATATTTATTATTTATTTAATTAAAATTGATTTATAAGTTAATATTTGTAGACATAATATTTATCTTTAAAAAATTATAAATATTAATTTAATTAAATATAAATTTAATAACCTTAACCATTTTGATTGGTAGCAATTTTCATTGGGGGAATAACCACACCCCGATTAAAGGCCTCTCAACTTGAAAATGACAAGTAATTAGAAGTCAAGTTGCGTGCGCTAAAGCTCCTTTGTTTTTATTACCCTCCCACCCCACCCCAAAAAAAGGCTAGATGCCAATTTGGGTTTTTTCCTCAACTTGGAGGTTTTACATAGATTTTATCTCTCAATTTTTTTATATTTTTTTAATTTTTTAACTATAAAAAATATATTTTTAAAATTTTTTTATCAATCAATCTATTAAATTTATTTAAATATATATTTTTAATCCTTCAACTTTAAATTGAGGGATAAAAAATATACATATAATAAAAATTGAAAGACTAAAAATGTATAAATTTAAATAGATTTAACAAATTAACTTACAAAAAGATTAAAAAATATTTTTTCTGTAGTTAAAAAATTAAAAAATTACATTAAAAAATTAAAAATTGAAAATTATACAAAACTTTTAAAGTTGAGGGATCAAAATTAACATCTCCAAAAAAAAAAACCCCTCCTTTATTGTATTGCAAACCCTTTGACTCGCTAGGGCCCACAAAGTCTAGACAAAGCGTCAAAAACAAACACCACCTCCTCCTCTACTTTGCAAGCATGATTACTTCTAAAATCCAAACTCATCAAACCAATGTATGTAGATGAATTAAATCTATTAAATATGCAAAAAGCATATTTCTAATTTGCTAGCTACGTTTATACTGAAATATGGATCAAGAAGAATCCAAAAATAGCTGCCACCTGCTTTGTTAATTTGGTGAAGACGTGTAGTACTCGCTAGAGGATGCTTAAAAATTTTCATTTTCTTAGAAACAAACAAGCCCTGGAAAAATTAGGGAGGCAAAAAGATAATAAAGAAAAAGCAGTTGCTGCCAACCATCCACGTAGAAATGCAAAGATTAGGCTGAAGCAGCAAGAAGAGACGTTCACACCAGGAGCTGCTCTGAATTGGATAGCTATTGTTGTCCCTCATTTTATTAAGATAACTTAAAAATGATTTGATTTGATTAATATTTTATTTGTTTATAATTTTTTAAATAATTAATTATAATATTTAAAATACTAATTTATAAGTTTTTTTGTTTTAAAATAATTATTTTTTACTTTAATTTTGTAATTAATTAATTATTTTAATTAATCATTTATCACAAAAAAATTTTTAGAGACATTGCAAATAAATATAAATATTATTTTAAAGTTATTAATTTAAAATTTTAATAGATTAAATCATAAATTTTAATTATTTTATTAATTATCAATTATTTTTAATAATTAAATTAAACAAAATTTAATAGCCGTAATAAAATGATGAGGTTCATAAACACTCCCGCCACCTGTTTTTATGAAAAGTGCTTAAACTTTATTGTCGAAAGCGGAAGTGACCCTCGAGAAGGGTCTTGTCCTCTAGCAACTACTAATTCTTTGTAAAATTCTTTTCATACGCACTTTACGTTGGATTCGAGTTTCAATTTAATATTTTTTTTATTTTAATTGTATAATAAAAAATAATTATTTTTTATTTTATTTTATTTTATTTATATATTATATAATTTAAATTTAAATTTTTTTATTTTTAATAAAAAAATTATTGAATTATTTAAGTTGTTAATGAGTTTTAATTTAATATTTACAAATAAAAAATAAGAAACGGAAGTGGCTTTCGAACTGGTCCACAAATTGACACGGAGCTCTGATTTGATGGAAAAATAATTAAAGATAAATTTATTATATAATTTTAAGTTGATTTGGAATATTAAATATATTTATTTTTTTATAATAGATAAAATTATGTAAAAATATTATTTTTATATTACGACTTGAGCAGTTGAAGTGGAACCTACTAAACTGCTTTCTGTCGGAAAGAAAGTGTCTTTGCGAGCGCGTAGAAAACACGCCCACGTAGGATTACTAGCTTTTGCTTTTGGCGGAGGGAATGAAGAATATGTTCCGTTTGCTGATAGTGCAATTCACCCGTTAAAACATAGTAACGATTTTTTTTAATTTTTTTTTAATTTCGTGCCTTTAAGAAAAGTCATATGAAAAACTTAAAAGGAATAAATGTGATTGATTGAATATAAAAATCCACAAATTGTGTTAAAGGAAAATTATTATGCAGTACGAGACGAGTTATATGATAGATATAGTTAAATGGGAAATAAATTTTTAAATATTGGAATTTTTTTATTTAATTATTTTTAAAAATTTTAATTTAAATTAATTTATTTAATAAAAATAGTTAATAATTATAATAATAATTTATTTATCAATTAATATATTAAAAACAATTAATAAATTAATATTTTTAAATACTATTTAAGAAAAAAATTAAAAATTAGTGACCTTAATGCTTTTTATGATAATAATAACTACACTTTTAGTTTTGTAATTATCAAATCATCAATATTGTTAAAGTTACTAAAACTTTGATTTTGTTTAAACAATATTCGAAAATATAAATTTATTAACTTAATATTTAGTCTACTATTAATTAATAATTACAATTATTAATCATTTTTATCAATTAAATAAGATAAAATAAATATT